AATATAAATAAATAAATAACAGAAAATAAAATAATATATTAATTAATAATTTCATTTAAATAATAATAAAATAAAAACTAATAATAACAAAAGGACAAAAAAAAACACAAAAAATCATAAAACTAATAATTTGAAACCTAAGTAGGGGTGCCATTGGCAATGGCTAGGGGTGCCATTAGCCCACCCCATTTAAATTATTAAAGTATACACTATATATATATATATATATATATATGGTTTATTTTAGAAAAAGTCAAACAACTGTTCAATTTTTGAATGAAATTAAGTAGTTATAACTATTCTTTTGGGTTAATAAAATATAAATAATCAATTTGATGATTTATTTATTAAAAAAAAAAAACAGTTCAAAGGATTTAATAACTCAAAATGAAAAAAATCATTGGTTTTTTATTATAAAAAAAACTTCAAAATCCAAAAGTTTTGTTGGGTTTCTCTGGATTTTTTTTTCCTTTTATCTTATCGTCAAATTAAAGTAAAGAAAGAGTAATATTAAATTGACGTAAATAAGTTATATTTGATATATTTTTATTAAATTTTAAATGATTAAAATGTATTATAAGTTATAAATAATCGTGAGAATCTCTTTATAATGTAGTTTATAATTTCTGATCTATAAAAGATAATTTCAATCCAATGTTCAAATTGTGTAGAAAAACTAGAGACAATTCATCACTTTTTCTTACTGATATGGTAAGATAGCTAGATCGGTTTTGGACTTATTGCTAAATTGGTGGGGAATCGGTTTTGGACTTATTTCTAAATTGGTGGGGAAACGGTGTTGGTCCAGAAAGCGCGACAACAAAACTCCTTTCACCTTCATGGAGGAGAATCCTTCTCGCCATCGTTATCACGAATTTGGCAAGTATCTATATATTTGGGCCACTACCTACCGGCCATTGTATCATCCCAATAACTTTATTTATAGGAAAAAAATTCTATCCTTGAAGCTGTTTTTTAAGAAATTTTAAGCTCGCATCTTCGATTGAATATTAAGAAGTATCCGAAAAGGATCTAATCCATGGGAACCATGGATCACAAACCAATTATCTCGAAATTCGTAATTCCTAATCCGGCTAAATTCACTAGACTGCTTGATTTTGATTTTAGGAGTTCTTGGTTTTGAGAGTTGTTTTGGTTCTTTTATTTGGTTTGATCGGTTTTGTTTTCTTTCATGTTAGCTTTCAGATTGGTTCACCATCTTCCACAATCTTAATTTTGTTGTATTTTTGTTCCTTTTTCAGTTTCAATAATATTGTGTTGGTCTTTAAAAAATCAGAAATATTTGGCATATCAATAATTTGTACATCAAAATTTGCCAAATGTATGTGAAAAAAATGGTATCCCATGCTGTAGTATGTCACGTCATTACTCATTATCGTATTATTCAGCAATTATGGCAGAAAACATAGGGAAACGGAAGTACAGTAGCCTTTGCTGCAAATAAGCTGCCGGCCACATTTAAGTTTATTGACCTTATTCTGCAACATACTCTTTAAACTTATATACATATATAACCTCATGATCTCACAATTCACATTCACAGAAGAAAGAACCAGCTAACCTAATGGAGGGAATACAACACAAGACAGTAAATGCTAATGGGCTCAACATCCACATAGCAGAAAAGGGTGAAGGTCCATTAGTCTTGCTCCTTCATGGCTTCCCTGAGCTCTGGTACTCCTGGCGCCACCAGATTTTATATCTGGCGGATCATGGTTATCGAGCTGTGGCACCAGACCTCCGTGGCTATGGTGACACAACAGGTGCACCAGTCAATGATCACACCAAGTTCACCGTTTACCATTTGGTGGGTGACTTGATTGGGCTTCTTGATGCCATCACAAGTGATCAAGGAGAGAAAGTGTTTGTTGTGGGTCATGATTGGGGTGCATACGTCGCTTGGAACTTGTGCTTGTTTAGGCCTGATAGAGTCAAGGCTTTGGTGAGCCTGAGCGTGCCCTTTATTCCATGGAACCCAAATGGTGACATGGTCCAGTTGCTGAGAGCCGCATTTGGGGAGGATCACTATATTGTTCGATTTCAGGTAAATTTAATGTGCAACATTTTTCTTCATCTCTTTTCGTAGTTTCTAAAACGATCTATAAAAATATCATACAAACTTATTGTAACCCTTTTACGCATATAATTGTTTGTTCTTGTAAAACTGTCTATTGATGAAAGTTTCGATATTTTTGACGTTTTATATATAAACCCGATTTCCTTATAGTTCAATGAACTGAATCTGCCTCTTTACATGCATATATGTGTGTAGGAACCTGGAGATATTGAAGCTGAGTTAGCTAGCATTGATACTAAAACAGTTGTGAAGAAGTTCTTGACATTCCGGAATCCAGAACCATTTTATTTTCCTAAAGGTAAAGGTTTTCAATATTCACCCAATGATGCCACAGTTACCTTGCCAACATGGTTGTCAGAAGAAGATGTTGAATACTTTGCTACCCGAATCGACAAGTCTGGGATTACTGGTGCAGTCAACTACTATCGAGCCTTGCCTTTGTAAGTTGTAACCGAGGTAGGCAGCCAGATGAACCCATGAGAAGAACACAATATCTCTAATGGGTTCTCCTTGGCCACCATCATTTTTCCAATTTGTTTTCTATTGATGCAAAAGACATTTCGTTTATTAAGTTTGGCCTATTGCTTGCACGATTACAGGAACTGGGAACTAACGTCGGCATGGCAGGGAGCTAAAGTGATGGTGCCATCGAAATTCGTGACGGGGGACCTGGACCTAGTGTATCATATGCCAGGAATGAAGGATTACATAGACAATGGTGGGTTTCAAACAGATGTTCCATTGTTGGAGGAAGTTGTGGTGATTGAAGGTGCAGCCCATTTCATTAACCAAGAGAAGCCTAATGAGATCAACAAACATATAGTTAAGTTTCTACAGAAATTCTGATGCCTCTTCAAATTTTCAAGCATATTTATGGCAATCAAGTGATGCAATTAATAATAGGTTTCATGTGTGGTGTGGGGTTGGTTTTAATCAAGTGATGCAATTAATAATAGGTTTCATATGTGATGCAATTCTTGGATGTTTGTTTTGCATTTACAGGCATCACAACAATGTTGAAAGAGTACCTACCACCATTAGGTATGGTCTTGCATGCACCATTAGGTATGGTCTTGCATGCATCACTGGCTTGTACAGTACAAGCTGTCTACAATGCACCATTAATTAACGGCCTTGGATTCTTTTCAAAAATACAAGTTTTATCTATGGTCGTTGAAGAACTGTTGTTGGTAATTAATTGAGGTGGGTTGAAAAGGGTGGGTGGCGAATGGCGATGGTGGTGGTGGTGGGCGTAGGCTTTAGCCGGCATCACCGGGAAGAAGTCGTGGGCGAGAGTTATGAAATCAATCAAATGATCTCATAAGCTGTCAAAAAATCAAATTACTAAAATACCCTTTCATATTTAAATAAAAAAAACAGAATTACTTAAATCAAATGAATCTTTTATATTAAAGTAGAAACTAATGAAATAAATATTGGTGTCCTCGTGGAAAAGAGAGTGAATTACACTTTTTGTCCATGTGGTTTATCAGGATTCTAATTCTCATCCCTCGACTTCACTAATTACGATCCTAGTGCTTGTGGTTTGCATTTGTTTTGGTTTTGGTACATGAGGCTAATGGCCGCTAATTGTTGTCATCAAATGCCTCTCAAACATGTAAGTCATATGAGGATATTTAGGTTATTTTACATATTTTTAGTTTAAATTTTTTAATGTACAAGTGTTTTTGCATAAGGTACAATTTTAAGTATTAAAAATGTAATTTAGAAAAAGAAAAAAATAAGGAAAATCATTTAAAAAAGAAAAAAAACCCCAAAATATCTCTATCAAATCTTCATCTTCGTCGGGCAATAAAAAAACCCAAACATTATCCTTTCCGTGAGGGAACTTAATGTTTTCTCTTAACGGTCATTAGCCTCATGTGTCAAAACCAACACAAAATGCAAACCAGAGGGGCTAGGATGTAGCTAGTGAAGTCGAGAGACTAAAACCAAATCTCCTGTAAACAACAGGGACAAAAAATATAACTTACTCTACAAATATATGTACATCTTTTCTTTTTGGAAAAAGTATATTTGTATATCTGGATAGGTATAGAGGTGTTCATGAGTTGGGTTGATCGAGTTGAAAATCTTTGAATAACTCAACCCAATGCTTGCGGTTTGAAAAATCTTAACCCAACCTAATCCAAACGTAAGTGCAATCCAACCCAACCGAAACCGTACGAGTTGGTCGGGTTGATACTTTGGTACATTAAAATATTTTTCTAACCTTGAATATGTTATTTCTCTACTCATAATTTCTTTTTCATCATCAACCATTTGATACAACTATTTCATACTTCTTACGTATATTACATTCAATTAATTTTCTAAATTTATGTATATATGTTTACAGTTACTGAACATATATACGATAAGTTATATAAAGATGTGAATAGATTGAAAAAATGTATATATGAATAGGTTACGTGATAATGTAATTGTCTAGTGTATATATTAATAGCAATTCAAGAATCATATTAAATCCAAGAAATAAATTGATACCGGGTTCATTGGGTTGGGTTGAGTTCAAATAATAGTAACCCACTATCAACCCAATACATGCGGTTTAAAATATTTACAACTCGATTAGACATCGGATTGCTTCGGGTTAAGTTATTTCATGTTGAGTTGTGTTGGGTTGATCGGGTTTTGAAGCACCCCTAGATAGGTACATATATTTAAAAAAGAGTGAAGTACATTTTTGGTCACTTGTCTATTGTTGTTTTTTAGTTTTTGTCCATACAATTCGTAAAGTACATCGATGGTCTATTTTTCCTTTTTTAGGCCTAGTCCCTCTATTTAACAACATTAAAATCTATGATTTTACCTCATTGTTTTTTCCTTTCAAAAACAAAAGAATATTACCAATTTGTAGTTTTCATCATGACAACAAAAAAAAAAAAAAAAATTCAAACTTCAATAAATAAATAAATTGTCTAGAGAAGGTCTTGAAGGATATGCAATCACGAAACCTTGATGTAGTGGTAGCGGTGGGAAGGGGAAGGGGTTCATGGAGACAGGGGAGTGAGGATTCAACTTCATATCGCTTTTGCATCTTCAATGACTCATCGAACAAACAAAGATGGGGTGAGGATGGACAATCGTCGATGTATCGAGATGGGAAGTTGTTTCACAATCGCTTATGGAGAAAGGGATGAAAATGCATATTCACCATTAAATACATAGGTAGAGTGGTTATCATTGGTGCTTTCTCGACTATTGAAGGCTAGATTTTCAACGAAGATGTGGGGAGGTTGTGATTTCGCGGTTGTTTGTATCTATTAGGATTAACAAAGTTTTATTTTATTGTTTCTATATTTATAATATATACTATAATGTTATTGAATTCTAACATAATGTTTAATTATTATCTTTATAAAAGATTATATTATTAAACCAAAAATAAATTACTTTATTATTAGAC